TTTTTTTTTTATTATTATTTAATTTTTCGAAGGCAATTTGAAATTTATGACGGCTCTGACCCGTAGGGCGGCGGCAGCGGTGGTGGCTGTGGCGGGCGGAAGACCGTAGTATACGAGTATTTACCGCGCGTTTAATACGTGCAGCGGTGTAGAAACGGGATAGATACCATCATCGTCGGCCCAAGGTGTCAGTTATATTAAAAAAAAAAAAAAAAAAAAAAAACGGTTAATTGCCGGTTAGTTATCCATTATACGACCACCGATGACGGACGGGGGCTAGACGACGACGGCCGCGGCGATGTATATGATATACCTACCTAATACACGCGTTATTATAACATAGGTACTACACATTATATTATTATTTTATTATTATTGTGCAGCGTAATCGTACCTAACTCATATTATACCAACACCGCGTCCCGTCACTTGCCGATATAGTTGCTAAATTGTGTTTGGGGTCTTTTATTTTGTTCGCTTAGCGTCGTATAYTTGCAGTTATATATGCTATCGGCTCAAGTGTTAAGACCGTTTTCGCGATGACTTCCTTCAAATTTCAAACATAATGTAGAAAATGTATTACTTGTCGAATGGAATAAATTAATATAGTGAATTATAATATAACACACTGGTAAACTTATACCAGCAATGGGTCCCATATATCGACTGCTATAAGAACTGCTGTGTTCATAATCATACTATATACCTAGCTAATATTTCTACCTCACACACACACATATAAACACACAATATTAAAATATGTCATCATTGTCATCTCTGCAGCATTTTCACTTTCCTTATATATATATAACTACATAGTTAATACTACAATACTACTTATTGTATACAATCAAAGAGAGTAACAAATAAATTATAATTTAATATTTCAACATTACTATTGAACATCACTATATTTAACTATAACTACTTAATATAAATAAGACGTTACACTAAGCCATCCTCCATTGATGATGAAAGTTCAATATCAATTGGGTAGGGGTGGCTCACGTCCTGTGTGCATACAAGTCGAACTTGTAAAATCAAAAGATAAATGGAGACTGCTAAATTTAGCCAGTTATATGCAATGTAGTGTAGTAGAAGAATTCGGGATCGACAAAAATAGGCACCTACGTATTATATTGYAAAGAGGCTAAGCCTCTTGCCGAAATCGATCAACGAYAATATTCATTGTAGTTATAACATGATACTGACTGCTGGTTCGTCTTTAGGCATATAAATAYACTAATATACATATATCATATGTGTTTGTGATGTACAACAAAATTTTCTGAGAGCCGATGGAAACAGACAAACTGCTGTGGCGGTTTCAATGTTCATAATAATAATAATAATAATAATAATGATAATATGTAGCTGCAATAGTCTGTATAGCCGGCGGAAATGATGTTATAACGTTATGATCTTAACGTGCACTCGAAATCAATTACACTGAAAACGGTTTTTTATTCACTTTGGAAACTATGCAGTGTAGCACTTTATGTATATGCATATATATAAGATGTAGGTATAGTGGYACGCCGAGAGCGATGTCGCTYGATAGACAGCAGACCWATGTAAAATGAGTGAGAAAGAGAGAGGGAGACTTACCCATTTCACAACGATTGAACGATGTTACATTATCCAAAGCCCCGTCTGCAGCACACTATATCATATAGCAGATACTAAATTATGTATATATAATCTATATATATGTACATAACTCGTATTGACCTACTTAGTACTTACACATCTCTCTATATAGAACGAACACACCATATTGTATCGATATTTCTCACGCATAGTATATACATTATACGTCGTCGTCTTCGTCTTCGTTTATATTATACATACATCATAATATCAATCCGTCATTTTTTTTATCCCCGCAGATCATTTTGAACTCGATGCACAGATATCAGCCCCGGATACATCTGGTCAAGTGGAGAGGAATGGTGACCGACTTGGACGCGGAAAAGTACCGGTCTTTCGTGTTCCCAGAAACCGTGTTCACGGCCGTCACGGCTTATCAAAATCAACTGGTAAGTACAAAACTGCATAATATGAACCTATATATATATATATATATATATAAATAAATAATATTACGATGACGGTAGCATTCGACTTCTGAATAATATAATAATGTACGCGCGGGTCGGTATATGGAATGTATATTTATAGACACTGAGATCCCATTAAAAACCGTGGCTGCAATATATTAACAGTATACGAGACATTTTTCAAATTCAAGAACAAAACATAATATACCGATGACCACATATTATGGAAAAATGTAAAATGGTGCATTATTAGTATAATATTATGTTCTTAAACGTTAGTAAATATATGTATATAAAATATATTAAAAAAATAATCCAAGTATTTCCTAAGGCATTTCCGACCGGTTCACGTATAGGTGTAGGTACCTAATAATTCGACATTTCGACAATATGTATATGTCTGTCTRATCGTCAACGGCGCGCGCGCTTCGCATAGGTCTTTGGGGATTTAGTTGACAGCTAACAGCAGATAAGTAGACAGGTCGTGTGCACGTTGTGTGTATTATTTTAAACACGCGTATTGGTATGGGTACCGCGGTAGCCGTTCACCTGACAAAAATTGTTTTTTTTCCAACCAATAGTTCCTCTTTTCACTCTACGCGTAATTCATTTCCCCCGGCGAACGTTGGTGTAGAATTTCGTTTCACGTATAATATGTGACGTTTACATAATATCACATATATATATATCATATATGTAATTACGCGAGTTTATGTACGACATATATTTACCTCGTGTGTAGTATACGAATAATAATAGTTATATTAATATTATCTCCACTCGAATTGAAATCCAAACGTGATAATATCACCGCCACCGTTTCGCAACGCTTTGTTCCGCATTTTTTTATGAGCGCCAAACCCGAACTCTCCTCCCTCCTACCAAAGCTTAGTTGCAGCGTCATCTTTATATCTCATGATGTATTGTTTGCACCGAAAATTGCTAACACACTATACATTCTATACCGTGTATACATGTTATGTCAGATCGTAATTTTTTTTTATCGCACTATAATTTTAATTACACATTTTATGTCTTCGGTAGTTGGTAGTCATAACTCATAACTAATAAATGTTAACTCTATTCCATCAAGGATGACTAAACATTTCAATTGACAAACCACACAATAACAGGCGGCATACCATCGCGTTGGAGTTTTATAATGTTATGGTGATCAACATTCGACACTGTAGCGATTGTCGTGTTTATAATTTTGTTCACATAAACTGACTATTTTATTTTTTAAATTCGTATTATCAACTAACACTACATTTAAAAATTTTCAACTTTAATCGTAATAAGGTCTACCTACCATAGCACATCAACGCTCACGTGCGAATAATTGTAATACTATCATTATTATTGATATTTATTTTTATTATTAAATTGACAAAGGTTTTTGATGTTTTAATTTTTTCCATTACAGATCACAAAATTGAAAATCGATAGCAACCCATTTGCCAAAGGATTCCGTGATTCTTCTCGACTAGGCGAACTCGAAAGGTGAGTGATCGATTTTTAATGTACGATATTGTCTACATTGTAGTTATGGGGCTAAAAAACTAAAAAAAAATCGGAACTATGTACCTATATACTTGAATTCGTGTAACGCGCCTATATAATGTTTTTTCTTAAACTAAATCCGTTTCATAAGAATATTTATATATCACTTGTAATAGTTTGAAACCAGTAATCTATTTGCATYGTTCTCCATCTAAAAATAAAAAATCAGTACCCTAAATGGCTTACGATTTCTGTTTTAACTCGAAATTTTTTTAATTTCCGTAACGTACCTACTTCAATGTAGATATGTTAAACAATGGTTATTATTTCTCATCAATAGTGTGTCACGAAGCTGTACGTAAATAACGCATAAAACACTGATAAATGTGATTTTTGTGCAACAAAGAAGCCAAATTTTAAAATATTTACAGACTATGAAACTATTAATTCTACTTGGTAGTAAGAGGAGTTGGACTCTGTACAAAACTGCTCATTCCACGAAATGTGCAATTACTCAATTCTGTATTATATATATATATAGTATATTTAAATATATTTAATAAGCTGTTGGTAACGAGCGCCGCTGTGCAAAATATTTCGTTGTTAAAAAATAAAAATAAAAAAACGATAATTATTTCTTGTGCTTACAACATTGCGTTTTTGTTTCATACCATTATATTACATTTGTATATATATATATAGGTACTGAAACTGTTATTTTCTCCGTATGCGTATTATATTGTTTTTTTATGTTTCGACACCTCCTACTCGATATATAACCACCGGCGGCGGAAAAGAGCCGGTCACAAAAGAAAAGAAAAAGTAACACACACACACACACATACACATTTACGTATATAAAATACGGTCCCCTTAAAACCTATCATTTTGACACGTTGTTATATGGCAAATTTACGCACGGTTGATGTATATATATAGAATCGGGTTCCAGTCGTGCCACAAAATTACAGGGCACGGTATCGCCGCGATGAATTTTACACGCGATTCCGTTTACACCTATATATATATATTATTATTATTATATACGCATTGCACTGTACACACACACACAGTGTACCTATATATATTCGCTTTGAGGTGTAGCGGGTTTTAATATACCCGTATATATATATATATATATATGAATTTAAGTAGGAACTTTTGCGTGTGTATATCAAATACGCCACGTACAAGACGTATAGCGCAGTGATGGATACGGATAAGCCCTGCCCGGTCGTATCCACCGAATTTAACCCGACCGGATGTTAAGTTGAGGTGTTTTGTTTTATTAGTTAATTACTRTTAATTTATAATGATTAAATTATACGCTAGGTATGTGCAACGCATTTTTTTTCGCATATATCGCCCGCGCAATTGTATCGTACAATATATAATATAATATGACGCATATGCCAATATATTATATTAAATTTATAATTTACCTACCAATAACGTCACACTTGTGTGTTCTCTCGTGAGTACSTAAATGTATGTATCAATTATTAAAGTCTGTCAAAACCGAACGCGTGAACGCAGTATAATTTCTGTAACAAATAACGAAAATAGTATTATTTGTAAAAAAAAAAAAA